AATCAGTTTCTGATGTGGCTAACATGTTTTTTTCTCCTTTACAGGAGGAGCTAGAGGTCTACGTTGTGCCGGGACTGAATTGTTGTTTGTTATCTGTACCAGATCTTTTGAAGCAGGGGTACAAAATTTCCTTTGAAAATGACACCTGTTCCATTTCCAGAGGGGGGAGACAACTTGTCAACGTGGAAAGCAAGAACAATTTCTTTGTTCTGGAGACACCTCTGGAGGGTGGTGGGAATGCTGGAAAAGCACAGGCGCAGTGTGCTAAGGTTCCCAGTCATGATTCATGTGTTCATTTATGGCACAAGAGAATGTTGCACACCAGTGTAGAAGATGTGCAGAAGTTGCCCAGGTGCACAAAAGGGTGTAAACTCCGGAAATGTGGGAGGAGGTCCCTAGGGTGCAGGGCATGCAAAGGTGCAAAGGTACATGGTTTTCCCGGGTTTGGGAGGGTAGCCAAAGAAGCCTTTGAGCTTGTTCACACAGATCTGTCAGGACCCATGAGGTGTGAGAGTCTGGGTGGAGCCAGGTATGTGCTGTCGCTGACAGATGACCACAGCCAGGTTGGCTGGTGTTTCTCTCTCAAATCACAGGGGGAGGCGGCGCAACTGATCCAGGATTGGGTTGCGGAGGTGGAACTAAGGTTCTCCACCAGGGTGCAAGGGTTCAAGAGCGACCGAGGGTCACAGTTTACTGGGTCTGCTCTGAAGGAGTTTTTCAAGGAAAAGGGAATACGTCACCAGGTGACGGGTGCAAAGTCTCCTCAAGGGAGAGGCGTGGCAGAGCACAGGAGTGAAACACTGGCTGAAGCTGTCAGGGTTTTGCTATGTGACTCTGGGCTGCCTCAGAGCTTTTGGAGTGAAGCTTGGAAAACTGCCAACTTTGTTTTTAACAGGTCCTATAACCACGTTATAGGGGAAACACCGTTTTTCCTGTTGCACCGGAAAAAGCCACAGGTGCATTTCTTCCGCGTGTTTGGGTCCAAGGCTTTCGTGCCGGTACCAACAGCTCAGCGGAAGGCAGGTGGTCCAAAGGTTCAGGAAATGATCTTCTGTGGATATGATCCTGCAACCAATGGGTGGAAGTTTGCATACCCAGAGGGTGATCAAACCAAGCTGCTGGTCAGCAAGCATGCTGAGTTCTGTGAGCAGGGTGGTTGTTCACGGCCTGGGGATGGTCCTGTTTTTCTCTCAGAATGTCTGTCTGATTCTGAGGAGGAAAGGGAGGAAAAGGAGGCAGAGGCTGATCCCGGTGATGGGGACCAAGTCCAGGATCAGGGTTCAGAACCCGGTGATGGGGACCAAGTCCAGGATCAGGGTTCAGGGCAGGTTTGGGCATCTCCAAGGGTTGTGAAAGGAGTGTCCAGGTGTGAAGCTTCATCTCCGGTTAGTGTAATGGAGAAAGCTCACAGACGGGTGGTCAAGTCAGAGGGGGAAGAATCTGACGGAGAAGACACACTTGCTGGCCCCAGGGGGTCAGAGGGAAGTTCAGATGAAACACCTCAGTTTGTGCCCAGGCGGTCTTCTCGGGCCACAAAGGGTGTTCCACCTGAGAGGGATCAGGTCACGGGTGCGTGGGAAAGGTTTGTACAGTGTGATTCTGGGAGTGTTGAAGGGGTTCAACAGGTGCCTGGGAAAGATGCCGGGAAGGGGCACAAGGCAATGGGAAAGGTGTTGAACTCAAAAGGGTCTTGTCAGAATGTGCGGCAAGAGGGGGTATGGGGTTTGGAACTTAACAGGTTAAGTTGTTCCCATGATGCCTCAGCATTCTGACGTCAGCTTTAGAAGCTGGGAGGAGTTTTCTCTTCCTCTCGGTTTTTTGAGAGGGAAGGACGCAGTTTGTCATGGCTGCGGTGAGTCCAGGAGTTTTCTGGGGAATGTCGGAAGAATAAAGGACTGTTTATAGACAAACCGGGCTTTGTGTGTTTGTCTGAAGCTCGAAGCTAAGTGACAGTTTTCACCGCTGTGTTCACTCTGCTGAGGCGTGACTGGACGAGGACGGAGCTGAGATCGCGCAGCTGAGGGAAGCGCGCCGGACGGCAATAAAGAGCTAATTGTGGATCGTAAATCAATTAGCAGGTCACGCTAATCAATCAATTCTACAGCCCCGCACCCAGATTTAGCCGTAACAACACCAACCAGAGTAAATTGAAGCAAATCAGCAGCCTGTAGGCTTGGTCTTTATTGAAGAAAGACTGTCGCGACAGGGTGTTCCCCTCACTTGCAGGTGAGAGGAAAGACAAAGAAAAATAGTGTGCCAGGTCTTATAAAAACTTTTGAAAATTCCCCTCCTCTAGGTCAAGCCCACCCCCAGAAACATCATGCATACATTACAGAAAGGAGGGGTTGAGGGAGGAGTTGGTGGTAACCTGAGTATCTTGTCACCTGGCTGGTTCCTCCTTTCCCCCCTCCCCATGAGTCCCTTCCAGGAGACAAAGGGGAGTTTGCAGTTTCCTGCCCCCAGAGGGAAGATCTGATCATTGTCCTTTGTTTCAGTCCATGCTGAATCCGCTCCCATATGCAAGTTCTTTGTGATCTTGATTGTCTTCTGTCTGGGATCATCAGGGTCGGCACAGCCACTGGGCAGGGCTCCTGCAGATGTGCTGAGATGGTGAAGGGATTATGGCTGACCAGGACTAAGCCACCCCCCTTTGTTAGTTCTTGTCATATGGAGTAAAATAAAAATGGAACAGTGCAAATCCGATGTATGGTTGATTTTCTATGAATTTATAACGGAAATGTGGCGTATGTAGTGTGTGAGTGTGTGTGTGGACTCAGCACAGGGCAAATTCCTGTTTTCCTGTGCAATCACATTCTGGGCAGCACTCCAAATTGCAGTGACCCTTGTTGGCTAGGAAAAATGCAATTCCACCCCAACAGGTGCTTTGGGGGGTCTGAGAAATGATGCCTTAATCCCTTTCAGCAAGGGTGCATGCACTATAAACTAAAGTGGCAGAGAAGAAAGTTCTTCAGAACACCACCACCAAAAGAGATACAGCTGTCCTAAGTCAGTCTAGGTGATTTTCCCTGCGGTTGGGGAAGTGTGGGGCAGCCAGGCCTTAAATGCAGTCAAGAAGGAGCCCTGGGCCACGTTACCCGTGTCTCTAGGAGATGAAGACAGGAGAAGGACTGGGTAATGAATGTGGAGTTTGAATAATTAGGACAAGGAAACCTTTGGCAAGCTTACTTAGCGAAAAGCCCTCCGTATTAGGCATAAGGAAGGCAGAATGCCCAAGCAGTGCTCTGCCAGGCTGCTCAGAACCAGGTTTGAAGGCCAGCTCAGTGGCAATGCAGGGCAAAGAGGTGGGGGGGGGGCACCGTGGGAAAGGAGCGACATGGAGCAAAAGAGAATAAAAGCAGCAGACTTTCTATTGTTTGGGGCGGCCTCTTTGGAGCCTGAGCCCAGCGGAGACGCCCCTCAATGCACTGTTGACTCCGCTCTAGTAAAACAAAGTCGCACCCTCGTGCCTGTTGTCCAGCCTCTCTCTCTTGGGGATAAAGGGTCCCTCCGAAGAAGAATCGGGGAGTTCCCCCCTCATTTGTCACACGCAAGGCTTCACTACCAACTCCCACAACTTGCTGCCCGTGCCGCCTGCCCTTTCATTTTCTTTTAAACAACAGAATTCTCCTATTTTATATCAGCCAGTTTCTTTCAAGCAGCTGAATTTGCTAGTGTCTGTGGATAAATCTCCCCAGACAACCAGGGCCTTTGGATGAGGGCAGGGGAGATTCTCACCCCGCGCCCTTCAAATTCAGAACAGTTTCGAGAGTCTGGCTGCTGCGCGAGGAACCTGCTCCCGCGTTGCTCTCACCTAAAAAGAATGTAACAATTAACTTTACAAAGCTCGAACAACATTACAGCTCATTTACAAAAATGCCTTTTTAAGGGCAACCGGCTTCCAACCAGCAGCCCAGCGGCCGCGCGCTCCGCCCTGGAGTCAAAGGGCGCCTCGCCCTCCCATTTCTAGCCCTGTCCCCGGGGGCGCGGCCTGGGGGGAGGGAGGCGTCCAGGGGGCGGGGAGGCCTCCGCCTCCTCCCCCAGCCGAGCAGCCCCGGGAGCCCCGGGAGCCCCGGGGAGCGGGAGACCCCCGCCGCCTGCCCAGCCCGACCTGCCTCAGTCCGCGAGGCTCTCCAGAGAGACTAAGCTGGAACGTCGAAGATAATGGAAATGCAAAGCCGCTGCTCGTGAAGCTGCTTCCTCGGCCCAAGTGAGCAGGGCGCCGACGGGGGCTGCCTCGCTGGAGCGGAGCTCCGCAGGGTCCGAGGGGGCGGAGGGCAAGGAAGGCGAGGACGGGGCGGGCTCCCGGGACGCCCCTTTGGACACACTCAAGGAAACCTGTCCTTAGAGGCAAGACTAGGGGGGAACAGGAGGAACACGAAAGAGGGGCCTGGAGGAAGAAGTCGGCTGGTCGAGGACGGGGCGGGGCCGCCGCTGCTCGGCCTGCCCCCCCCCGGTCCCTCCCTGGGCTTGACCAAAGGTGCCTCCGCGCCGTCTTCGCCCACTTCCGACGGCACAACAGCCCCCGCGGCGGAGAGCGAGCGAGCGCCCCCCTGCCCGCCCGTCCTCCGAGGGGCTTCGGCCACCCTCCGCCCCGCCGAGAAGGTAGGGGACCGAGCCAGACCCGCTCCGGGGGCAGAGGCGGGCGGCCGGGCGAGATGGGCGCCGGCGTCGGGCTTGGCGCGGTCTCCTAAGCAGGGAGCCCCGAGCAGCGGCGGAGAGAAGCGGCCTGGGCTCGGGGCTCGGGAAGCGCGGACTAGTGGGGGCGCCGACGGGGCGGGGAGACTCGAGCGCCCCCGAGAGCGGCTGACGGGGAGGGGGCGCCTTCAACTGCTTGCGATTCTTTATTAAATGTCGATCGCGCCCTTGGTCGGAAGATCACAGGTCAGTTTGCAGGGGGTTGGCCTAGATGCCCCTGGGGGGTCCCTTCCAGCTCTAAGATTCTATACAAGTACAACATAGTATAATGTAGTAATAAAAATAATAAATACCCCCCCCCCGCACATTTAAAAGACCCAAGGCCCGCCTGGCAAGGTGTGGCTAGATGCCCCTGGGGGGTCCCGTCCACCTCTGGCGTTTCCACCAGATGCCTAATGGTGTTTCTCTGGCTTCAGGTTTCACAGCGCAGCTCAGACAGTGTCAGGAAGGGGGGGGCAGACACAGCCCACTTGTTTACCCTTTGGTCACCCCCATGCGAGGGGGCACAGGGGGAGGGAGCTCCAGCACAGGCCCCTCTTGCCCTGGCAGGCCCAGCCTGGCACCCTCCTCCCTGTCTGCTCTTTGGCACGGCTGTTGGCACCCTGCAGCCCTCTGGAGACTGAGTGGGATTGGCTGGAAGGAGCTGCCGCAGTTTGGCCCCTGCCAGCCCCCCGCCATCCAGATCCGGCTTCTGGGGACTTTTGCCCCTTGGGCTTTTCAAGCAGATCTCTGCCCGGTCCCTGGAATCGTCTCCATTGTTCCGTTGTTTCTTCCCAAGCAGCTTGGACAGCACCCAGTCCAGGCAGTGGCAGCGTTGCCTTGGCAGAGGTCATTGCATTCCCCTTCCTTTTTCTCAGTTTGGCTTTGACCATCTACTCCTGACGAAGTCTTCTGTGCCAGGGGAGACAAACAAGGAGCTGACCCGCTTGCTTGGCTTTCCCCTCATGCTTCCCCAGCTGCCTGCCAACTCCACACGGAGTTGAGTTGGAAGGGATCCCAAGGGCCATCTAGTCCAAGCCCAGCAAGGAAGGAATCTTAGCTGACACCCTCCCATCCAAAGACAAGGAAAGGAACAGCTGCCTGACTGTTAGAGGACATCTGAAGGCAGCCCTGTATCAGGAGGCTTTTAACATTTGAGGTTTACTATGTTTTATATGTACTGTAAGCTACTCAGAGTGTCTGGGGAAACCCAGCCAGATGGGTGGGGTGTAAATAAAATAATAAATAAATAAATAAATAACGCAAGCAAGCATCCATGACAGATGGTCACCTAACCTCTGCTTAGAAACCTCCAAGGAAGCAGAGCCCACAACCTCTTGTGAGAATCTGTTCCACTGTTGAGCAGCTCTTACTGTCAGAAAATTCTTCCTGATGTTTAGTTGGAATCTCCTTCTGGTAACTTGAAGTCATTGGATCAGGTCCTCCAGAGCAGGAGAAAACAGGCTTTCCCGCTCTTGGGCTACTGGATCCCTGCCAAGCACATAGCGCAGGATGGGGCCTGTTGGGCAGCAAGCGGCTGCTTAGTATCTTGGCTTTCTTATCAAATGCAGGCAAGCTGCTTCTGCTTCTTCTTGAGTTAAAAGCATCATACTTTTTAAAACAAAATTATTTGGTTTTTCAAATTCCAGTTTTACAATCAGATATCCAACATACAAGATGCAGACAAGACCCCAGAGAATCTCCTGGGCTCCCCTCCTCCCCTTTGTGGGTCCTATTGTTAATCATTTCCTCCTGCAACTTTTATAATAATCCAAACCTTTTACATCTCCATTATATCCAAAATTCACCATTAAACCACAAGTGTAGTCAAATGCAGGCAAGCTTCTAGTCCTCATTGGACACAGCAGTGTGCAGGACGCAAAGCACTGGCCCTTTTCTCGTGGCGCTGGGTCTCTACGAAATACTCCACCAAACCTCAGACGCTACAGTTGATGGCCTGAGGGGGCACCCGGCCTTCTCTTGGGGGTCTGTCCCTGGGAACACTCTTGTGAATGGAGAGGAGGCCCCCTCCCCTTCTTGCCGTGGGGCCAACCAAGTGCAGGCTTCATCTCCCCTTCTCTCCCTCTCCTCCTCCAGCAAGATGGCGTCACAGAAGCTGCAGGTGGCCGTGGTTGGGGCAGGGGCTGCTGGTCTGTGTGTCGCCCGCCACATCCTTGCCTCGCCCGAGACGTTTGCTCCTCCCGTGGTGTTCGAAGCCTCTGGCTGCCTGGGAGGCACCTGGGTTTACTTGGAGGAAGAAGCCAAGGGGCGGCCCACTCACTCCAGCATGTACCGGGACCTCAGGTAGCCACCCGGGGATGTGGCCCCCCTCTTTCACCCCCATGTGTGTGTCTTGGGTCCCTGGGGGGCAAGGGAGCTCATCCTGCGGCTGCGTCCTGTTCCCCCTCCCAGGACCAACCTGCCCAAGGAGGTGATGGCCTTTCCTGACTTCCCCTTTGACCCGGCGCTGCCTTCCTTCCTCCACCACTCGGATGTGCTGGCCTACCTGGAAAGCTACGCGGAGCATTTTGGGGTCTATGACCACATCCAGGTGAGACTCAGGTGGGGTGGCGGCGCTTGAGTCTGTTACTGGGAAATTGGAAGGGGGGGTGAGAGACCTCCCCACCACAAGGCAAGGACAGGGGGTCTTCACTGCACATTACCCAAACCTCATTCATTTAGGTTCATTTAGGAACTCCATTCACAAAGTGCCGGTCTAATCATAAACTCCAGATCCCCGATAGCAGCCCCTATGCTTAGAAAATTAAGAGCAGGAAACAGTGGTACCTCGGTTTTCAAACGTCTCCATTGACAAATATTTTGGTTCTCAAATGCTGTAAACCTGGAAGTAGATAATTCGGTTTTTGAACATGCCTTGGAAGTCAAACGTGCCACACGGCTTCCGTTTTGAGTTTTCTGTTTTGAGGATTCTGTTTTGAGTTTACTGTTTTCAAATGTTTCAGAACTTGAATGGTCTTCTGGAATGGATTACGTTCGAAAACTGAGGTACCACTGTATCTGCAAAGGCATCTGCAAGGGAAGCTGGGCTCAATTTGCAGGAGGAGCCCGTGACTCCCCTCTGAGCCCCAGGTCTCCAACAAAGGAAAACAGGGAAAGTGCCAGAGCCAAATGTCTTAATTCACTGAAAAATGTATCTATGTACTGGCTTGCTGGGAAATTACTTGTTGGATCAATCTTCTCAGTTCCAGTGGCATATAGGACCCAGGGAAGTGAGGTATAAGGGGAGGGGTGAGAGAGACCACCATAATCCCCAAGGAGTCGTGACCCCAAAGAGTGTCAGACTGAGTGTCGGACTCAATCATAATGCCTACCTGCCCCATAATGGGATGAAGGGGTGTATTTGACTTGACTCAGGGGCCAGAGAACTGTCAATGCTTTCCTTTGTACTGTGATGGAGTAAGTGTGAAATACTATATTTGAGTGACAGGGGCAGGCCTGGATCTCAGGTGCTACCTGAGACGCCACCTTTTCTGTGACATATCTATGATGTCTGGATGATGTAGGTCAGAGGGAGGCCACAGCAGCAAGGACTCAGGATCCCTTTTTGGTCCAACATAAAGAGTACCCCTGAGCATGTGGCATTTCTCTGGCCACTAAGAACCTAAGAAGAGCCCGCAGGATCAGGCCAATGGCCCATCTCATCCAGCATCCTGTTCTCACAATGCCTGAACAGGATCCGAGCACAAGAGCTTGGAATAGGCAGTCCCCATATATCTGGGGCAGGGACTCCCAGGCAGGCCACCATCTTGTGTCAGAAATGAAGGGCTGCCTGGCATCTCCAGGGGTTCAGCAGGAGCCTCTCCAAGCTGGTTCCAGAGCTGTGGCTTCTCTGCCCCCCAGAGGCCTTTCCCTGCCCACTGCTGGGTCTCTGCTGGCCCCCTCCCTGCCTGAGGGCCTTCTTCTCCCTCCTGCAGTTCCGGAGTGAGGTGAGCCACGTCCGGCCTGTGTCCAGCAGCGAGGGCCAGCCAGGGGGCTGGGAGGTCACAGCCACACAGCAGGGGACAGAGACAACCCAGAAAGTCACAAAGCACTTTGATGCCGTCATGGTCTGCACTGGGTGAGTTCAGCAATGGAAGTCAAAATCCCTTTGGCCCAGTGCCCGGGGGGGGGGGGAGCATGACTTGGCAGCAGGAGCCACAGAAATCATTGCAAGGAAAGTGTGAGTTAGCTGCACCCTGAGGCTTCACAGAACGCTCTTCACCCGTGTCCTGCATCAGTCAGGCCTCCTATGGTCTCTGCCCTTTATGGGTGTAGACAAGCTGGGATGGGGTCAGAAGGGGCAAGAAAGAGGGTCCGAGAGGGGAGGTGAAAGGGGTTGGGTGTGCTTTGCCTGGAAAGGAAAAGACCAAGCAGGTGACATGATCACACAAAAGGGCTAGAGGGTTGCTTGGGGGGGGGGCATGGCAAAACGCCTTGATGTCCTTGAGTCCCTGGACAACCAGTTACTGAGATGGGGGTGCCCTCACTGGAGGTCTTTCAAGCAGAGCCTTGGGATTCCTTTGCTCTGGATTCTCAACACTGAGCGGGGGGGTGCAGTCATAGAATCACAGAATGGTAAAGTTGGAAGGGATCCCAAGGGTCATCTAGTCCAACCCCATGCAATGCAGGAATCTCATTGGCTGATGTCAAGTGCCCAGGGTGGCTTGAACTGGCTGGGCTGGGGGGAGGGCCAGGGACCATTTTCAGGACCCCCCCCCCCATTTCATCAGGAAGAGGCAATCATGTTCTCTTAGTCTCTGGGAACCAATCAGGGCAGAGGGGGGCAGGGGCGGGACCTGGCTGGTCATGTGTCCTGACAATCCTGTTTTTGCAGCCATTATGCCAACCCATTCATCCCTCCCATTCCTGGCCTGGACAGCTTTCAAGGTGAGGACCAAGGAGGAGCTCTAGGCAGCAGCCTGGAAAGGCTAAAGGGGGCTCTTCCGATGTAACCCCCCATCCCCTTTTCCCCAGTGGCCAGCCAGAGCCAAGCAGGGCCTGAAGGCCAGCTCTCCCCCCTTTCTCCCCAGCAGCTGACCTTCACTGGTAGACTGCTGCGGAAGCTGAAGGCTCTGTACAGCTGACCCGACTAAGAGCCAGTGGTGGGAAGGTCCTCTTTAAAGCTGAGGACAGGTCTTCTTGTTGCCAGTTCTGCAAGTTTGCCTGGTGTGGATAAGCCATTCCTTTTGTCTGTCCAGAGTCTCCTTCTGGTGGTCACATTTTATTATTATTATTATTAATTTATTATTTATACCCCGCCCATCTGGCTGAGTTTCCCCAGCCACTCTGGGCAGCTTTCAACAAAACACTAAAATACAATAACCTATTAAACATTAAAAGCTTCACTAAATAGGGCTGCCTTTAGATGTCTTCTAAAAGTTTGGTAGTTATTTTTCTCTTTGACATCTGGTGGGAGGGCGTTCCACAGGGCGGGCGCCACTACCGAGGAGGCCCTCCTCTCCTCCCAGAGAGGTTCTGAGGGTGACAACAAGAGAAAGGGCCTTTTCTGTGGTGGCTCCCCGATTGTGAAGTGCCTGGCGCCATCATTACATGCCTTAAGGTGCCAGGCAAAAACATTCCTCTTTATCCCGATCTTTAGCCATTAAATAATCTAGGGCCTGTTGCTGTTATTCGAATTCGTATTCTTATTCATTAAATTTGTATACCCCCTGTGCTCCTCAGGGCGGTTACAACATAAAATCGCAATATAAAAGCACAAAATACACAATAAAAACAAAAATCAAAAGCACCCCTATAGTCCCCCTCCCCCTGTTAAAGGTGGGGGGACTCTTATTGCAGTTATCTGATCGTCGTGCTGCCTATTACTAGCCTTCTGTTCTCTTCTTCTTGTGATGCTTCCTAAAATCTTTTCTTAATGTTGCACTCTGCCCTGGGATCTGTCCATGAACGGGGGAATATACTAATTTGGGGTTGGGGAGCAGGTGGGGACACCTGGCCAGGGGAGGGCGGGGGGCTGGAGCGGCTCCCTGTGGGCAAGAGAAGGAGGCTGCGCGTGGGCAGGGGGAGCCATGCCCTTCCCGCAGCACCCACCCACCCCTGCCTGCCTGCTTTTTGCTCTCCTCTCCAGGCCGCCTCCTGCACAGCCACTCCTACCGGCGCCCGGAGCCCTTTGCCGGGCAGAGGGTGGTGCTGGTGGGCGCCGGCCCCTCCGGAGTCGACCTGGCGCTGCAGCTGGCCCCTCTGGCGGCGCGGGTGGTGCTGAGCCACCAGGGCCCGCCGGTCCGCGGGCTGCCCCGGGACGTGCTGCAGGTTCCCCCTCTGGCTCGGGTGTCGGCGGAGACGGTGGTGCCCAGGGACGGCTCTGCGCTGCCAGCCGACGCCTTGATCCTCTGCACGGGCTACCAATACCGCTTCCCCTTCCTGGATCTGGCGCAGCTGGGCTTGCGGGAGACGGAGTATGGGGTGGGGCCCCTGTACCGGCACCTGCTGGCCCCCCGGCACCCGTCGCTGTTCCTGGTCGGCGTCTGCCAGCAGATCTGCCCCTTCCCGCATTTCCACTGCCAGGCGCTCTTCGCCCTGGCGGTGCTGAAGGGCGGCTGCCCGCTGCCCTCCGCCGCCGAGATGGAGGCTGATGCCCAAGCGCAGCTGGAGCGGCACCTGCATGAGGGGGGTCTGGCGCGGCACTTCCTGCGCCTCCGGGCCCAGCAGTGGAGCTACGCGGAGGAGCTGGCCCGCCTCGCAGGGTTTCCCCCGCTCCCCCCGGCGGTGCGAGAGATCTATGAAGCGACGCGCGCCAGCCGTGCCCAGGATGTGAGCATGTACCGTGGAAGGAACTACCGGCTGTTGGGCCCAGATGCCTGGGAAGTCGTGCAAGGAGAGGCCGGGGATGCAGAAGGAGGGCCTCTTCTTTGAAAGCCGACCAGCCGGGGGCCATCAGCGCCACCATCTTGTGGCAGGGAGTTCCACAGATTAGCCAGAGATATGCTGCTGGCCAGTTCTGCCGGGAGACCCACCCCCAAATTAGGGTGTTTGGGGAAATGGAGGGAAATGTCGCTTGGCCAATGGGCGGGTGGGCAGCCACTTCTTTGGGGGGGGGGCTTGCCAAGGAGGGTGGTGGCAGCCTTGCGAGGGAGGCTGGGCCCAGAGCACAGGAGCCTTGCGCATCCTGGGAGGGGGTCGTGGCCGCCCACTTGCCTTCTCCTTTCTGGGGGGTGAATGGGGAGCCCTGCCTGCCAGTGCCTCACAAGCTGTTTGCCATGTTAATTCTGAAGAAGCAGAAGAATAAAAGGGCTGACACGTGCTCTGCCTGCAACTGAATTTATTTCTCTTTTAATCCCAAGGTGGTTTAGGGCAGAGATGGGCTGCTCTTTGGGCTGGGGAGGGACAAGCCATGTCAGGATTTTCAGGGTGTGGGATCAAGACTGCCCTCACCCCCCTGGAGGAGGCCAACAGGAGGTGGAGCCGGAGCCAATGGCAGGCAGAGCCACCTCCTCCTGCCCCTCCCCCAGCTGAGATCTACAGCCCAGACAGAGGAGGAGGAGGAAGCTGACAGGCAGCGCCACACTCTGGCCTGGTTGCTGGGAAGGCAGAGAGAGGTTGGTGCGTGACAGGAGAGAGCCAGCAGCAAATCACAGGAAGCAAGTGGTGAACTCTTTATTAGAAAAAGCAGGGTCCGCCCAGGAGCGTCAGGGCTAAGGAGCACAGCAACTCTTCTCTGGCAATTCTTGCCCCCATGAAGCCGTTGTGGAGACTGAAGGGACCAGCTCTGCTACATTGCAGGGGGCTGGGCTAGATGTCTCCTGGGGCCCTTCCAGCTCTACAGCTCAAGGATTCTGTACCCTTCCCAACCCCCTGGGGGAGCCTTTCCTCCTGGCATGAGCGGCCTTGATGCGTCTGGCACCACCTTCCTTGAGCAGCAGGGCAGGACCAGACACCCACAACTGTGCCAGTCAAGCTGCAACCTCACAAATGCTTGTGCTGCCGTTTCCCTCTGCCCTGGTGGCCTCTGCCCCTTCCAAGGGTAGCATCTCCACACCCGAGGGCAGCCCAAGGAGACCCTGGGCCCTCAAGGGCTGGCCAAGGTTCCCCGTGCCCCTGGCGTTGTTGCTGTGGGAGCTGTGTTGTTGCTGTGGGTTGCTGTGGGAGCCCCAGCCTCTGAGCAGGTAATCCAATGGCACCAGGTGCTGGAAGGTCTCTGTGGCAAAGTAATAGGCCAGGGGGTCCAGGGCGGCGTTTGCGCAGGCCAGGAGCAGGGCGCACTGGTAGGCCATGTCCAAGCACTCCCCCTGCAGCTGCGGTGCCTGGTACAGAAGAACCGCCATGTGGTAGGGCAAGAAGCAGCCCAGGAAGATGCCCACGTTGGTCACCACCATGTGACGGATCTTTGTGCCGTTGACCAACTCCATCTGAACGGCCCCGCTGTGGTGCACGGCACGCAGCAGCTGGCAGGAGCAGCTCACCATGATGGCCAGTGGCAGGGCGAAGGCGAGCGCCATGGCGGTGGGGACCCCGCGGGCCGAGATGTAGTGGGGGCGTTCGTCGAAGCAGAGCATGCGCTGCCCCTGCTTCCTCTGTGTGACGTAGGTGGGGATGGTCCCTGCGACGCTCAAGGCCCACACCCCTGCGCAGATGCACCTGGCCTGCTGGCGCGCGGCTTGGGCCCTCGGACTGAGCGGGAAGCAGACGGCCAGGCAGCGGTCCCAGCTGAGGCAGGTCAGCAGGAAGATGCTGCAGTACATGTTGACCAGGAGCAGTGTGCCCACCCCTTCGCACAGCAGCTGAGGCAGCCGAGGCCGCCAGCCGTAGAAGTGGACCCTCAGCGGCAGCGAGGCCAGAAGCAGCAGGTCGCAGGCCACCAGGTTCTTCATGTAGGTGATGGTGATGGAGCGCCCGGCGCGGCCCAGAACAAAGATGCAGAGCGCTGCAATGTTCAGAGGGAGGCCGACCGCAAAGATAAGGGCGTACATGCCAGCAAAGGCCTGGTCGGTTGGACGGGTGCAGTTGGTGCAGTTTGGGCTCATCGCTGCCAGTCTCGGGTGGGCTGCAGGAAGCCTGAGGGCCGCAGCTGCTGACCAGCACCAGCCTTCTAGCACCCGCTCCCTGGAGAAAGGAGACAAGGAGTTGTGTGTTTTGCTAAGTTGCGACCCTCTAACTTTGTATTGGCTGTCTGTTGCTGGTTTATTCAGAATCATAGAATGGTAGAGTTGGAAGGGACCCCAAGGGACAGCTAGTCCACCCCCTGCAATGCAGGAATCTCAGTTCAAGAACCCCTGGCAGATGGAGGAGGAGATGGACAAGCTGGAGGGTGGGCAGAAAAGGGTAGCCAAGATGGCAAAGGGTATGGAAACCAAGTCTGATGAGAGACAGTTAAGGAAGTTGGGAATGTTGAACCTGGAGAAGAGGAGGCCGAGAGGTGACATGATGACAATCTTCAAATATTTGAAGGGCCATCACCTGGAAGATGGATCAAACTTGTTTTCTGCAGGTGGAATCTCCTTAATTGGAAGTTTTTCTACAAAGGTCAGACGGTCACCTGTCAGAGATTCTTTAGTAGTGATTCCTGCATGGCAGGGGGTTGGAGTAGAAGCCTTTAAGGGCTCCCAATTCTATGATTCTAAGAGGATGTAGTCACTTCCACCCAAGGTGACTGCTACTTCCAAAAATCAAAGAATTTTTTGAGTATCTTACATTCCTGGCAGAGTTTGAGTTCCAGCAGATATCAGGGGAGCTGATCTCCCTCTTATTTGTGAATATTTAGTCATCTGCTCTGGGAAGGCCTCATCCAAGTCTTCAGTCCGGCTTGGAGGTCTATAGCAGACTCCCACAGTGATGTCACTGCTGTTTTCCTATCCTATAACATTTACCCAAACACTCTTAACCTGCCTTCCATGCTCCAAGTCCAACTTCTACACTTCATTCATGATTCTCATCCTACCAGTTTTCAATAATGCCTATTAGGTCATATTTTCCATCCCATATCAAGAGCTCAAGTTCCTTTTGTTTATTTCACATGCTCTGTGTATTAGTATAGAGACAAGTGAAGCTGGAGAAACAGTAGAGTTGGGACCTCAAGGGTCCTCTAGTCCAACTCCTCCCTCATAGGAATCTCAACTAAAGTACCATGACTCATTCCTGTCCCGTCCCCCCGCCCAGCTTCCTGTGTATCAGTAAAGTAATCATACTCAGTACTTGGTGTCTCCTTGTCCTTGGAAATATTTATATTGATTCTGTGACCTAGAGTAACTGAGAGAGGCAGGAAGCTTGGTAGATAAGGCGCCTTTGGAGACAAGAGAGCTGTGTCATGCTCTCAGAATGATGGCTCCCCTGCTATCATGGAGAATGATGGTCTGGGCATTGCTCGTCTGTTATCTAGCTAGCCTGGTCTGTAGTGTTGGGGTGTGCATGTTGGCACCAAGGACATGGGGAAATTGAATTGTGAAGTCCTAGGAGGAAAACTTCAGGTTGCCAGGTATGCTGTCGAGAAATCTCCAAGGTAGCTTTCTCTGAAATGCTACCAGATCCATGTGCAGGGTCGGCCAGCCAGGCACAGCTGTGTAGTCTGATTGTGGGGGTGAGACAGTGTTGTCAGGAGCAGGGGGTTCAATTTGTTGGGTGCTGGGGGGCATTTTGGGATGAGCCTGTGCAAATGATGGGCTCCTCTTCAACACAAATGGGAATACTGGCACATTAAACCTGAAAGATGGCAGAGCTGCTTTTAAACAGATGGTGGGCTGCAGGGAGTGGCTGATAGGACTTGTGGAGGGTGGTGTTCACAAGAAGCCTTTCCCCGAGGGAAGGATGAAAGTGAAAAACAAAAGGGACCTGTCCACCTGCTTCCCAGGGCCATCTCCTTCTTCGAACACATTTAAAGAATTTGTTGCTGTTGGTCTTTATGGTTTTACCAATGTGAGCCTCAGAATTCTTTTTTTTTAAATTATTATTATTTTTCGGATCCCTTATTGGCCGCTTGCGTTCCCCCCCCCCCCCAAGTTTTGTGTCGCTTTTGGTTCCCTTGATGTGGGTGGCGTTCTGGTTTTCTTAAGAATGTCTTCTTGCCTCTCACAGCTTATCTGATTCCGCTTGCTAACCACAAAGGCATCCTCTGGGCGCTTGTGCTATCTTGCCTGACCTGCTGAGCTTTTTCAACTCCCAAGCCTCTCTTCCTCCTCCTCCTCCTCTTTTATTTCCAAGAACTTTGAGGAGCTTGACCTTCTGGACTTTGCCCCTCAGCTGCTTTTTTGCCCGTCAGGGTGCCTCTCTCGAAGCCTAACGTGACTGTGCTGGGCTCTCTTGCCAAGTCTCCATTGAGCTCTATATTGCTTTGGTGCACAGGGGTCCCTACAGCAGCAGCAGCAGCAGCAGCAACAACAACAGTTTATTATTTATACCCCGCCCATCTGGCTGGTCTTCTCCAACTACTCTGGGTGGCTCCCAACAAAATATTAAAAACACAATAAAACATTTAACATTAAAAACTTCCCTCAACACGGCTGCCTTCAGATGTCTTCTATAAGTCAGATAGTTGTTGATTTCCTTGACATCCACAGGGCGGGTGCCACTACCAAGAAGGCCCTCTGCCTGGTTCCCTGTAACTTCACTTCGGACACACAGGACATTCACTGCCTCCACTGGTTCTGATTTAAAAGAGAGGTAGAGCTGGGTTTCATCCACATACTGATGAACACCCAGCCAAACTGGATCAACAACACTTAACATTTCACACCAGATCCTGGGTGCCACCGCCTCTGCTTGGCTCCAGCTGTTCTAGGACACAGTCCCTGAGGGTACCTAGAAATTGTACCTCTTTGTCGGGCTGGAACACTCCTGTTTTCAGCCTCTCTCTTAGGATGTAATGACTTTAAACAACTTGGGACCAGTTTACCTACAAGATGGCCTTGCCGTTCAGTTGGTGGAAATGGCCCTTTTTCATGTGCCACATCAAACCTGCGCTGTGTCAGTAAGAACCTGATGGTTTAGTGTAGCAGCACCGACACTTTGGAACTCCCCAAGGCTACCCAGATGTTTAGAAAGTCTGCAGGAGTTTTAATTTGTTTTAGTCTATTTTATTGTGCTTTTTAACTTTATATATCATGTTTGTAGGTTTCTTTTTAGTGATTTTTAATCATTTTATCTTTTTTGTAAACCGCTATGAGTTTTTTCCCTACAATCGAGTGGCGTGCATATTTTATTAAAATAAGTCAGTGATGTCTTTCTAACAATTTCTAAATTCTGCATTGTTTTTAGTAAAATGATGAGCTGGCCCTACATGTACACAAAGAGGGTCAGCCATGAGAACCACTGGCCTTTGTCTGGAGGGGAAGGACGGGGCAGCCTCAGGAAGCAGCCATTGTCCAGCTTCTCTTCTGCCTGGGGGAGCTGTGCTTGTGTGGCTGCCCCCCCCATCCTCTCAGATCCTGCCTTGGGCCAGCCGGCCAGCCCTGCCTCTTCTCCCGTGGGGAGGGAGGGCGAGGGAGCTGAGAGGCAGTCAGGCTCCTGCCTCTGCCCGCTGAGCCTGGGCAGCGGGTGGCCAGGAGGCGCCTCCCTCTTCTTCAAGGCTTCACACCAGCAGCCTCCCTGCTAGACAGGAGAAGGGGCTCTTCCTCCCCCCACCCCATTTCCCACAAAACTTACTTGACATCTCAGAGGAGCCAGTTGCAGAGGGGAGAAGCGGCTTCACGGGAGCAAGAGCCACCACCTGCTTGCCCATCTTCAGCAGATCTCCTCTGGCTTCCTGCTTCTCAAAATGTCAAGGTTGAAGCACATGCACACACCCGCTGGGCAGAAACCACATCCCTGGGAAGTCGGTTGCCTCAGAGGAGCACTTTCAGATCATTTTCCGTTAGCTGTGCCTGGGTGCCGGGGGTGAGCAGGGAGGGAGCAGAGACTGCAAAGAACTCAGGAACTCATGGAACCGCAAAGGAAGCGGTCCTGTGGCAGCCGTAAGAGCAGCTCTCGGGACAAGTCAGAGCCCCACATGCAAGCAGTGGGGGCTACAGGAGGCTTGTCGTTCAAAACGCATATGGCTGACACAATTTGGGCAGGAACCAGGGACAGGATATTACCTTTAAATGCTATGGGATTGTTTCAATATTAAATTCAACAGTTGCTGTGAATTTAATCCCAAAGCCAGCAACTGGGAATATGAATTTCAGTTTAGGGTTTCTCCTCTGTGGGAGGACAGTCGACTCTCTTGGCAGCTGAAATGATGCTCCCAGACTGGAATGGTTACATCTACTTGCCAGAAACTGGCCAGGGAGCGACTTGTGGCCACATCTATGCCTTCCTTCTGCCCAAATAGTCAAGTGGGCTCTCTTTGCAGACAGACTATCAGGTAAACACCCTAGAAATTTGAATAAATAGTGGCATGAAGATGTCCCCTTTTATTTCTTTGAAGCATATCTGCTCAGCCCCACCCCATAAACAGCATGCACCACCCTGGGTTGTCTGTCCTGACGTGATGAAACTTTGGGAGGCAGCCGATATACATGTCCAGGCTTGTAAGGAGTTAACATGCTGCCCGCAGTCACACTTGGTCACACCCTGAACTAATCTTCAGGGTGGGGAATATCAATAGCTGAAGCACAGGCAAGAATGTCAGAGAATCATACAATGGTAGAGTTGGAAGGGACCCCAAGGGTCATCTAGTCCAATCCTCTACAATGCAGGAAGCTCAATTAAAGCATCCATGACAGATGGCCACCCAGGCTCTGCTTAAAAACCTCCCAGGAAGCAGAGACCGTTTCACTGCCAAAGGGCTCTTATTGTCTTCCTCCTGGTGTTTCTTGTAACTTGAAGCCATGGGTTCGAGTCCTGCCCTTCAAAGCAGGAGAAAACAAGCTTGCTCCATCTTTCATGTGACAGCCCTTGAGATACTGGAAGATGGCTCTCCACAGGGCGCAGGTGTCTAAACCACTGAGCCTCTGGGGCTTGCCAATTGTAAGGCTGGCAGTTAGAATCTGCACAATGGGGTGAACTCCCCTTGCTCTGTCCCAGCTCCTGCCAACCTAGCAGTATGAAAGCATACCAGCATGAGTAGATAAATAGGTACTGCTGTGGCGGGAAGGTAAACGGCATTTCTGTGTGCTCTGGTTTCCATCACGGTGTCCCATTGCGCCAGAAGCGGTTTGGTCCTGCTGGCCACATGACCCGGAAAGCTGTCTATGGACAAAGGCCGGTTCCCTCAGCCTTAAAGCAGACATGAGTGCCGCACCCCATAGTCGAATTTGACTGGATCTAACTGTCCAGGGATTTACTAACTGTCCAGTCTCCTCTTTCCCAGGCCAAACATACCCAGCTCCTTCAACAGAGACAAGTTTCCCTTCCTGGTTCACAATACTAGAGTGCATAGTAATTGAGTGAAGCTGAATGCTGGAAGATTCAGGGTGGACAAAGAGAGGCATTTCTTCACACAGGCACCAACTTCTGTGGCTTTACAAAGGACGAGGCGACCAGGAGCTACCAGCCACGATGGCTCTGCATTATCTCCGGTCTCAGAGGTTGCTGCAGATTGCAAGTGTGGAGAGTTGCTGCTGCTCCTCTGGGATTCCTGCTTGTGCCGTATTCAGAGGAATCCCACCTGCAGCTGTGGAAGCAGAAGGCAGCCATGGTGGCTGGTAGCCATGGATCAGCCCAAAAGTGCCACGAAACAGCACAGAAGTCTGTACAAAGAAGGATTTCATCTTCTCAGGGAACAGTCAGAAGGGTCTTGACAGAGGGGGAATGTGAGGTGGCTCCCTGCTCACTTGTGCTCCATGTGAATTTGGTGTCTTTTTCCTCCTGGGGGGCAGTTTGGTTTTTTGGTCTCAGGCTTGGGGCTGGATGCCTTGCAAAAACCTCGCTTCCAGAAGCTTCCACCAAGCTTGTCTGTTGCATACCTGCAACCGTTCTGCAGGACAGTGACAGACCTACAATTATGGGACCCTGAAACTTGAACTGTTATGGGGGGGGGGCTTGACAATCAGCAATGAGTTCTGGGTGACCCCTGTGACCACCTTCAAGAGGGTCATTCATAACAGATCACAACAGTTTTGTTTTTTTAAAAAAAATCTGATATGGATTAAAACGGCTGTCCTGGATTTTCTCACCTGTCCAAGTCACTGAGGTGAATAAAAATGTCTGATGCCTTATAATTATTGAGCCCCACACTGGGTGAAAGATTCCTTCCTTGGAGGGGTTGAACTAGATGACCCTCAGGTTCCTTCCAATTCTATGAATTGATGATTCTATATGTCTATGCAGGGGGGTGAAAAGGAGAGAAATGTTCTATACCGTACATGCATGAAGCATCATTGAACGATGAAATAAAACCTAGAAAAGACCACAGTTAATATAATATTCCATCATAGACACCTATGAGAATACATACTACATGAAGCATGTTTTATAAAATACTCTTTATTCCAGTCTTGCAGGGGGTTGAACTAGATGACCCTCATGGTCCCTTCCAATTCTAAGATTCTATGATTCTTTTTTTCTGGTTTTTCAAGCAACATATTCACATCCTGAGAGTTTCCAAGCTGTTTCTGGAGACAAGATGGAGTGCTCTACAGCAGAATGGCAGCACCTGACTCTTCAACTTTGGGATTGTCGAAAGAAAGACCACCCAGAATTAATCAGTTTGAGTCATGGGACTCAAAGGGGGTTGACTGGACCCCGTTTTTTAAAGCAACGTGAGCCAAAGTCGCTTCTGGGGCTCCTCTGGGATTCAGCTTCAGTTTCATATTTTTCAAGGAAGGTCCGCCTCTGTCTACACCCTGCAAGGGGGACCTTTGTGCCCTCCACCCACTGTGGGGGCCCATGAGATGCCTGTGGGGAGCACAAAGGGAGCCCTGCCACCCCCACCTGGGCCATGGCTTGGTCTGGCTGTGCCCTTCAGCCCCCAGGTCCTGTCTCCTTCTCTCCCCCCCATCTCCCCCCCGGGGGCTGCAGGCCGCTAAGGAGCAGGGGTGTCCCGGGCCCCTCATGGCATGCCTCCCCTGGCCAGGCTGCTACTCCTCCAGGGTGCAATTCAGAGCCCGGAAGCCAGGCAGCGTCACCCGCCCCAGCCGGGCCAAGTCAGCCGGCGAGCCTTGGTTCATGCGGCGAACCAGGTCCTTCTCGAAGAGCAGCGGGTGGTAGGCACCCAGCGTGCAGGCCTCATCCACAAAGTCCTGGTAGTAGTGGCACCGTGAAGACTGGCGCTGTGAGGGCAGGAACTCGTAGACATGGACCAGGTCACAGAGCGACAGCATCAGCACTGTCCCTGGAAGAGGGAGAGATGGAGGTGGGGCCGCTGCAAAGAAGGACCTGCAGGGCGGCGGGGGGGGGCAGGAGGAAACTTCTTTCACCAGGGCTGGAAAGTTGGCGCTTGGTGAGTCCCCCTGAGAATGTGGAAAGTGCCTTGCACCTCATGCCCTGGAGTAACATCAGCTGCCCCCACCCTCAACCAGTGAGAGGAAGGGAAGCAGGGCTGAGAGGAGCTCTCAGTAAAAAGGGAGGAAGAGGAAGGGTGCCTCTTGGCCACTCAGAAGGGAGCACCCTTGGGAGACCCGAGGGAGGGGAGTGCCTTCCTTACCAAGCAGCCCTGAGGAGGGTGGGTTCCGCTGTACTGCCTCAGGTGCCCCTTCCTGCACCAGCCCCCAGAGCTGCCACTGCACTCGCGGGTGCAGCAGGTGGAAGAGCTGCTGGGGCCTCTGGGAGCGCATCGCACGGAAGGGTCTGAAGATGGGGTAGTCGGGGGCCTCGAACCACTGCCGGGAGAGGGAGAAAGGGGAGTGTGGAGCAGAGCAGAGCTTCACCCCACCCCACCCACCCACCCCACCATCTCTGGTGCAAAGGTCTCTGATTTCCTCCTAGCTGTGAAATTCATTCTTTAAGCCAGAGGGAAATTGCAGGGAGTTCCCCTGACAGCAGGCAGAAGGCGCCAGAGTAGCTGGGTGAGGACCTCAGGGCCTGCTCCCTTCCAGGGCCTTTTCCATCTGGCCCAGGGGGCGTGGCCCAGGCCCTCTCTCCCAGCTATAAAGGGACTCCTGCTGCGGTGAGGCCTTGGACCATCCATCGGCTGTGGGGAGGACTGCAGGACCTGCTCCCTTCCAGGGTCTTTTCCAACTGGCCCAGGGGCGTGGCCCAAGCCCTTATTTGGAACAAACTTTTCGGGAAGCTGGGAAGTGTTCTGCAATTGCTTCCCTGTTCCAAGTGGTTAATGTGTTTTAAAATGTCCTCAAGCAGTCGGTGGCAATTTAAATTTGTATTTCTTTTTTCCTTTTTTCCTTTGTTGGGGGTGGGTGGGATGGATATTTGGTTGGGGATTAATTTTAGTATAATTGTTCTGTTTTTGTTTTCTGTTTTTATTGGTTCTGTATAGTTTGTGTTTTGTTTTTAAGGGGCGGGATCAGGGCTGCCTGGGAGTGGGGCCCCAGCCAACACGATGGCTGGGACAAGTTCCACAGGGGGGGAAGCACTGGGACATCCGATCTCGGTGATCATGGGCAGGAGGCGGAGTTACGCCAAGACCAGACCATGTCATTACCGAGGAGGCAGGTTTAGTCGTTGTTTGAAGACTATCCCTGCCTCCGGGTCTGGCCTTGACCGGATGGATACTGGAATCAACAGGGGAAACCCACATGACCTGAAGGTGTTGCTGTGTAATGCCAGGTCAATGATGAATAAAACCACTGCCATCCACGACCTGATTGTGGATGGAGGATTTGACCTGGCATGTGTGACAGAGACCTGGTTGGATGAAGCGGATGGGCCTGTCCTTGCTGCCGCTTGCCCACCAGGTTTCTCTTACGCACAGCAACCCAGGTCATGTGGGCGGGGAGGGGGGGTTGCAGTGATTTTTAGGAAGTTATTAGTCTGCACCAGGCGTCCTATTGGGAAGACCCAGTTTTCTGAGTGCATGTTCTGGAAGTTGGGCAATAGGGGCAGTACAGGATTCCTTTTGGTGTACCGACCTCCCCGCTGCACCAAGGATTCCCTGCTTGAGCTGCTTCAGGTCGTGGCAGATGTCCTCCTGGAAACACCTAGTTTGGTTGTCCTAGGGGATTTTAACATCCACGCTGACACGACCTTACAAGGGGCCGCTCGGGACTTCGTGGAAAGCATGGCCTCCGTGGGGCTGTCCCTGAATAAGTTGGGCCCAACTCATAGTCATGGACATGCCTTAGACCTGGTATTCACCTCTAGTGACGTGGGTGATCTGACACTAAGTAAAAGTGAAACTAAAGAAGTGCCATGGTCAGATCACTTCCTGGTGCAACTGGACTTCTCCGTGACCCTTCCCCTCTGCAGGGAGGTGGGACCAATTTGGATGGTCCGCCCCCGCCACTTAATGGTTTCCAGAGAGTGGTAGGGGATGTTTTATCCCATGTTGATGGCCTTTCAGCTGATTCCCTGGTGGCCCGCTGGAATGCGGAGTTAACCAGGGCTATGGACTGTCTGGCTCCGAAGCGCCTTCTCCGATTGCATGGAGCCCGGACAGCCCCGTGGTTTTCTTCGGAGCTGAGGATGATGAAACAATCGCTGAGACGGCTAGAGCGTCGGTGGCAGAAAACTCACTCCGAATCTGACCGGACACAGGTTAGAGCTGAACGTCGAGCCTACCAAGTGGCGATAGCGACGGCGAAGAAGACTTTCTTCACCGCCTCTATTGCATCTGCAGATAATAGTAGCAGGAGAATCTTTCAGGTGATCCGCAATTTAACGGAACCACCTTTAACATCGGGGCCTTGTAAAGACCCCCAAGATCTCCTGCAACGATTTTGCAAAGTTTTTTGCAGATAAAATCACTCATATTCGGAAGGAGCTAGACACCACCGTGGGAGCAGGGCTGGGGCGGGAGAGTGCTAGAGCCCTGTCTGGTCAAGTTGCATGGAATCAATTTCAATCCGTTACCCCCGAGGATGTGGACAGGCTGCTTGGACGCGTGAAACCAACCACCTGTCTCCTTGATCCTTGCCCATCCTGGCTAATAAAAGCAAGCTGGGAAGGGCTGGGCGATGGGCTCTGCGGGGTGGTGAATGCTTCCCTCTGTGAGGGAACATTCCCAGATCCGCTGAAAGAGGCGGTCATTAAACCGCTTCTTAAAAAACCATCTTTAGACCCGGCCAGTATGGCCAAATATCGCCCAGTCTCAAATCTTCCATTCTTGGGCAAGGTGATTGAGCGTGTGGTTGCTGAACAACTCCAGGCACACCTGGAGGATGCGGACCATTTGGATCCCTTCCAATCGGGGTTCAGGCCTCATCATGGGACTGAAACTGCCTTGGTCGCGCTGGTCGATGATCTCCGGCGAGCTAGGGACAAAGGTGAGAGCTGTTTCCTAGTTCTGCTGGATCTCTCAGCGGCCTTTGATACAATCGACCATAACATCCTTCTGGACTGTCTAGAGGGGCTGGGAGCTGGGGGCACTGTTATACAGTGGTTTCGCTCCTTCCTCCTGGGCCGTGTTCAGAAAGTGGTGGGGGGGGATGAGTGTTCAGACCCTTGGGCTCTCACTTGTGGGGTGCCTCAGGGTTCCGTCCTCTCTCCCATGCTTTTCAACATTTACATGCGGCCGCTGGGAGAGATCATCAGGGGGTTTGGACTGGGTGTCCATCAATATGCAGATGATACCCAGCTCTACCTCTCTTTCAAATCAGAACCAGTGAAGGCGGTGAAGGTCCTGTGTGAGTGCCTGGAGGCGGTTGGAGGATGGATGGCGGCTAATGGATTGAAGTTGAATCCTGACAAGACAGAAGTACTGTTTTTGGGGGACAGGGGGCGGGCTCGTGTGGAGGACTCCCTGGTCCTGAATAGGGTAACTGTGCCCCTGAAGGACCAGGTGCGCAGCCTGGGAGTCATTTTGGACTCACAGCTGTCCATGGAGGCACAGGTCAGTTCTGTATCCAGGGCAGCTGTCTACCAACTCCACCTGGTACGCAGGCTGAGACCCTACCTGCCCACGGACTGTCTCGCCAGAGTGGTGCATGCTCTAGTTCAGTGTTTCCCAACCGGTGTTCCGCGGCACACTACTGTGCCGTGAGACATTGGCTGGTGTGCCGTGGAAGGAGGCGGGCGAGTCGGGCGGTGAGAGGCGAGGATCCGCGTCGAGCCGGGGGCGGCTCCGCGGTGGTGGTGCCGAGCGGCGGGGCAGCGCGTGCAAAAGGGAGGAGCGCGAGACAGCGGAGGAGGAGGAGGCCGGCATGTCCGGGCAGCAGCAGCAACAACAGCAGCAGCAACTCCCGGCGACGGCTCCTCAAGCCCCGCCGCCGCCCCCTCCTCCGCCCGCTATCGCCGCCACCACCACCACAGCCGCCGCCGCCTCAGTTGCCGCCGTCCCTCAGTCCCTCGCTCTGCTGCCTCCTCCCACCCCCAAAGCTTGGAGGTTCCCCGGCAAGGGGGAGGGAAAAAACTTTCACTTTCGTGCGTCCCTCCCGGCGTGACGCTGCGCGCTGACGTCACGGGGCGGGGCTTTAATGGTGGTGTGCCGCGAGATTTTTTTTCAGTAAACAGGTGTGCCGTTGCCCAAAAAAGTTTGGGAAACACTGCTCTAGTTATCTCCCGCTTGGACTACTGCAATGTGCTCTATGTGGGGCTACCTTTGAAGGTGACTCGGAAACTACAGCTAATCCAGAATGCGGCAGCTAGACTGGTGACTGGGAGTGGCCGCCGGGACCACATAACACCGGTCTTGAAAGACCTACATTGGCTCCCAGTACGTTTCCGAGCACAATTCAAAGTGCTGGTGTTGACCTTTAAAGCCCTAAACAGCCTCCGTCCAGTATATCTGAAGGAGCGTCTCCACCCCCATCGTTCTGCCCGGACGCTGAGGTCCAGCGCCGAGGGCCTTCTGGCGGTTCCCTCATTGCGAGAAGCAAAGCTACAGGGAACCAGGCAGAGGGCCTTCTCGGTAGTGGTGCCCGCCCTGTGGAACGCCCTCCCATCAGATGTCAAAATGATAAACAACTACCTGACATTCAGAAGACATCTGAAGGCAGCCCTGTTCAGGGAAGTTTTTAATGTATGATATTTTAGTGTTTTTTGGTTTCTATGGAATCCGCCCAGAGTGGCTGGGGAAACCCAGCCAGATGGGCGGGGTACAAGTAATAAATTATTATTATTATTATCAAGTCCTGGGAATGTAATTGACAGAGGATGCCCCTGCCCTCCCCTGGCACCCACGGGTCTTGTCCTGCCCCAAGCACAAGGCAGAGAGAGGGTCTCACCTCCTGCAGGTCCCCTGGGAAAGGGGCTGGGTCCCATGCAACCAAGGCTCCCTGCGCATAGAGTTGGTCATCCAGAAAGTGCTGCTCAGGAGAAGCCATCAGCTGTGGGGTAGAGGGGGGCGGATCGGGTCAGAACGGGCCTGACTCCAGGATCCCAGAAAGTTGTTCAGATGCAAGAAGAGGCAGAGAGGGGAGGGCAGGGAGAGGTCCCCAGGGTTGCTGGCCCTTACGTGCAGCTTTGTTAGACATGTGGGTTTCTTGCCCAGAGCCCATAAACACCTGAAGCCTAGCGGGGAAGGGCAGGCTGGCAGGCAGAGGGCAGCCCCACCTTTCTCTGCACTTTCAGAGAGGCCATCCTTCCCTCTTCTATCCTCTTGTTGCTCCCCTGAGAGAAATTATCCCTTTTTTCTCTGAGCTGCTTGGCACCTACTGCTGCTCATATTGCACCCGAGTGTGTGTGCGCACCCACCCACCTTCCACCTGCAGAGGAGCAGCATGGGGGTGACTTCTGTGGGCAAGGCCCCTTGATGCCACGTCCAAAGCCCCAGCAGTCCACAGGTGCCGCTCAGCCAGAGCACAAACTCACACTGGAGCTGGCGAAGGCAGTAACTTCAGCGCCATCACTCTTGGGTAACATTGAGACAACAGCTCTTGATCCTACTGTGTTTCCAGTGCCTCCAGCATCCTGTGCTGTCAACAACTGTTCCTTGCGAACGGTTCCCTGACCCAGGGCAGGTGTTCACTGCCGAGATGAGCGCATTATTCACCAATCTGCTGGTAAGCGGCTGAAGGTGTGTCTTTTTATGGAAGCTCTGATGATCACTGGCTGTGATTTTTGCATCTCACAGCCATTCAACTCTCACCTGAAGACACGGGCCTGAGTTCACAAAAGTTCATCTCATAATTAATAACATTTGCTAGTTTTGAAGGTGCCTCAAGCCTCTTTATGGCAGTGGGCTTCAGCACACCCTAGAGCTGGAGGGCAGGGATTGTGGCTACAGAGCAGTCCAAAGCTCATAACCCCACACACTGCAGCCCCACGAGGCTGCCCCCAATTGGCTCTTCCCTTTATCTGGCCCAAACCCATATCCACACCCTGCTGTCCTCTCCCAGCCCCCCCTTCATTGCCCACCTGGGAATTCACGAGGCGGATGGTAGTTTTGGTGCCCACATCCTGCTCATAGCCAGTGGTTGGGGCTCCGTTGAAACGAAGAACAGCATCATGGGAGTCTAAGAGGAGGAGGAAGAGGAGGAGGAATATGAGGGCCAGGGGAAGGGAGAGCAGGCAGACCCCTACCCAACCAGGACCCTTCTTAGACCTGCAGCTCCCTTCCTGGGGAGAGGGGCAGCCAGCCATGCTGGGGGGGGCTGCTCAGGACCTGTCCCAGGGCAGCTGCATCATCAGGGAACAAGATGGCCCATTTCAAGCAGACTCCCATGAAGACCAGATAATTACCCATTATCTCAGTATTGTTATTATTTTATCACTGTGTAACTGTAAAGTATTGTTAGGAGTTTCCTCCTGAGACTTTGCCAACAGAAATGCTCTGCTAACATTTCTAGGATGTGAAATGAGCTCCTCCTGTGAGAACTCAGATGGAATTTTACACAAAAGGTGCAACCAGGACTCCCCTGCAGGGCCCAAGGGGAGCTGAGAACCTCCTGCTGCCACTGCCACTCTGCTGCTAAACTACTTGAAATGGAGAGGAGAGAGCCAGGTACACGAGGTGGGATATGAAGGCAACAACTCCTATCAATGGCTAGTAGCCACAAGGGCTCTGCTTTGCCTCCCCAGTCTGAGGCAGCCATGCTCTGAATCCCAGCAGCAGGACTCAGGAGGAGAGAGACTCAGGGATCCTGTTTGTGAGCTTCCCATAACAGGCACCTGGTTGGCCACTGTGAACAGGATGCAGGCCTAGTTGGGCCACTGACCTGATCCTGCACACTCTTCTTTTGCTCTGAAACCCAACTATAGCTGGGTGACTCCCATAAACAGGAGAGGCAGGTTGCTTCATGCTCCGAGTGCCAGGACGCATGGCACCCTCTCCTGAAGGGCAAGGCATCCCCTCACCCCCTGGAGGCTGTGCCAGAGCCACCCGCCGGGATGCTCCCCCCCCCCCAACCAGCACTCACCAATCTCCTTGCCCAGTCCGGAGCCCAACATGGAGCCAGCAGAGCTGACGACGGCACACTTCCCCAGGGGGCCCAGCTCCTGCCTCAGGCTCCTGCGGGGCAGCAGCCCCCTCCACTCTGGGTCTGCAAAGGGCCCCTCGTCCCCCAGGAGCGTGGTCACTGCCACGCGGCTCTGGAGCTGGCACAAGAGCTCTGTCCCAGCGGCATGGGGGTTCCCTCGGCGTTGCACGGCCCCCGGGGGCACCCGGTACTTATTCATGGCTTGGTAGTTCTGGAAGACTTGCTGAAGGCGGGGGCCCAGCACCCCTGAAGAGAGCTGCTTCTGCCAGGCAGCCCAGGGCAGGGGCTGCAACTGGACAGTCGTCCTGGAGCCCTGCCAGGACCTGCCCAGCCCCTCTGCAAGGCGATGCCAGAATCTCCACAGGCCAGAGAGGAAGGAGTGCCACAACGGAGCCTGCTGGGCAGAGGCAAGGCTGGCAGGCCCAGCACCCAGGAGCCGCTGAAGAGTCCGGTTGCTTCTGGAGTGCGGCTGGAGGCTCCGGGAGAAAGCAGCAGCAGCTGCAGAGGTTGGGGGTCCTCCTGCCCCATGGTGAGCCAAGCGCAGCACGAGCCCAGACTGCAGGCAGAGCAAGGAGAGTGTGGCCAGGCACAGCAGAGCAAAGCTCAGCCAGGCACAGCCCCATCCCCATCGCCAGGGGGGGCGCAGGCAGCACCAGGGGTCCACGGGCCTGTGGAGAGATGGGCACAGCAAGGTGAGACACCTGGGGGTTCAGTCCTTTGGCCACAGGGTCAGCTACGTGGCTGGAGTAGCCAAGTGCTTGTCAGGTCCGAAGGGCAGCCTGGCTGGAGCAGCTCAAGGCAGACTGGCACCCCCCTCACCCCACCTCAGCAAACAGTTTCCTGCCTCTAGAATGCAGGTCCCATGTAACTGCCCTCTTCATCCTCCAGGCATGTCAAACTGTTTTAAAAGTTACCAGAATTGTCATTACCACCATTCTCTTGTGGCATTGAGTTCCACAAGTACACACTGTGCAAAGGAACATTTGATTTTATTTGGCCTGAATGTCTGGCTAATACATTTCCCTGGGTGACCAAGAGATCCTCTCTTTCTCTCTCTCTCGACACCCTCCATCATTTCATGAATGATGGCCCTTGTGGTCTCTTCCAACTCTATGAACTTTTCCCTGCATTTTAAATCCCATTTCCCCCCCAACCCAAAGAGCCCTAAACGGTGTAAGCTGTCCTCGCAGGGGAGGTCCTGGATCGTTTTCCAGCTCCTTTCTGAGGGGCATCGACCAGACCTTCCTCGCTTGCTTCTGCTCCAGAGACTTGGGGAGGGGGGTGCCCTCATCTCCGAAGATGCCCTTTCCCGGGGGCGAAGTCTGACCTTTCTATTTCCCATCTATAAAATGGACAAAGCCTCGAGCCCGCTAAGGCCTCCGACTCGGCGCGGCTTCTGCAAAGGGAGATCCTGCAGCAGCCGCTTCGGGGGGGAAGGGCAAGAAAGTGGGGCAGCCCCACGCCCGCGGCCCCGCTGCCAGCTTGGGTTCCCGGCAACCCCTTCCTCTGCCCAAGGCTCTGGAGGCAAGCGAACAGGCGGGAGCCCGAGGGCCAGAGCGGAGCCGGAGGAAAAAGCCCCCGAAGGCGCCCGACCCGGGCAGGGTCGCCCTGTCCTCTGCGCGCCGCTGCGCACCTGGCGCCGCCGGTCTCCAGCTTAGGGACCTCCCGGCTAGAGACGCGCGGCAGGAACAACAACCAGGCTGCGCCGCCCGCGAGGCTGGGCGGTGGGCGGCTCCTTCCCCCCCTTGCAACCCCCCACCCGGGGCGCGGGCCAGAGGGCTGGGCTTCCCCAAGCGGAGGGGGACCCCGCCGCTCACCTTCTCCGCCGCCGCATCGCCGGCTCCGGGCACCAGCTGCAGCGGGGGGCGGGGCAATGCATCCCCAGCGGAGGCCACGCGCTTGGGCCCCCCGAGGCCGCCCCGCCGCCGGGAGACGCTTCCTTTCCAAGCCGGGCTGCTGCGCGGGGCAGGGGCGGCGGTCAGGTTTCCAAAGGGGAAAGAGCATCTCTTAGAAGCCCCATTCCCGGCATCTTCGCCCTCCTGCCTCAGCGCCGCCTGGCTTGCTCGTGTCCACGGAAGGGAAGATGGCAGGATCCCCGGGGACGGGCTCTACGGGGAGCTGCTTTCCAGCACCAGGCCTGGCGGCCGACCAACTCTGCATTGCAAAGATGAGGGCTGCCCACACCAACCCCGCCATGTGGGAATCCCTTGCAGACAGGTCGTGCATCCCTAGCAGGCGACCAGAGGAGGAATGACCGCCGGGAGGAGCGCAGAGGGAAGAACCGCTGGCCGGGCCACGGCGGGTGCGCCGGTTTTGCACCGGCTGGTCGGCTCCCTCCTGCGCGAGCGGGCACCCTGCGCCCTTCGATCCGTGCATTTCCAGGGTGCCCTTATGTATGGGCACCCTATTCTTATCACAGCGTCCAATCTCCAGAGAAGCGGACACGGAGCAATGGATCCAAACTACAAGAAAGAAGATTCCACCTAAACATTAGGAAGAACTTCCTGACAGTAAGTGCTGTTTCGACAGTGGAATTTGCTGCCAAGGAGTGTGGTGGCGTCTCCTTCTTTGGAGGTCTTTAAGCAGAGGCTTGACAACCATATGTCAGGAGTGCTCTGATGGTGTTTCCTGCTTGGCAGGGGGTTGGACTCGATGGCCCTTGGGGTCTCTTCCAACTCTAGGATTCTATGACTCCCCACTGTGTCATTACAGTTTACGCGTTGTCTGGATCAGGCCCAACTATTCCAGTCTCCTCACTAGGCGCTCCGGAAAGGGAAGAAGCCCCCCAGCAGGACCTGAGAGCAGCAGCATGTCGTACTCGGAAGCATTTTTGCCTCGGACCCCGAGGGCAGAGCATAGCCATCCGGCTGGCAGCCATTGAACCGGGTCCCCAATAAAATTTGTGGACTCTTTTAAACCATGCAAGTTGGACGAACCTCCCAACCTGTCCTGACTCTCCCAACATTGGGCTTCACTGGATGTCCACGGGTTCCAGCATTCCAGTCCCAGCGTTGCAGGGGCTGGGCTAGATGATCCCTGGGATCCCTTCCAACCCTGCAGGGGTCCTTTACCTCCCCCCCCCCATGGCAAAATTTGCACCATCCACCCAATTGCCTGCTTGTGATTGCAATCTGGCTTGCAGAAGAATGAATTTTGACTGGGGAAACTACTGCCCATCTTGACAAGGGAAGTGTCCTGTGAAAGGGAGCAGGGAGGCCAACACTCCTCTGGGGGTTCAGGGACAGAGCTCCCTTTGAAGGCAAGGAAACAGGAACTAGTAAAAGCCACTTTGGCACCATCATTGCTGTGGGACTTGGAAGCTGATTTGCATGTGGTTGCCCACAAGTGGGGAAAGACGCTTCCCTGCTAGTAGAGGGAAGAGGCAAGAGCCAGTCCACCATGGAAGAGGTGGCAGAGGGAGGGACTGCCTCTCTTTAAACTCCCCCAGAGCCAGGAACAAAGAACTGAGAAGCACCTCCTAGGAGAGAGGGGGGGGGGGACTCTGGCAGGAATCCTGTGTGATGGGGAGAGACCCTCAAGAGGCACTCACTCCCCTGGGAAAGCAGACGCAGTCTTCAGCAGACCAATGCCTGGTTGCAAGTCACTTGGGGAGTGGTGGGCCAAGAGCTGCTTTGTGCTCTGCTCTGGTCAGCAGTGGCCAGGCCAGCCATTTTCAGCAGGAGAGAAGCCCAGGCAGCAAACGGGGTGTCTGGCTCTGCCCTCCCAAGAGCCACAGGGCAAAGTGGTTTCTGAACAAAGTGTGTGAGCTTTTCTGCCGGAAAGGTCCTGCTCAGTTTAAGCTTCAAAGGAGATTTGTAAAGTGGTTTAATATGCAGAGTGCGTTTAGCTTAGGTTTTGCAACCTGGAATGCACGTTTAGAAAAATGCACATTAGGACTGAGTAGAAAGCCTCCCTTGAGTCTGCCCGTCTGATCCTAGTCACTGTTCCCCTTGTGTAATCTACAGCCCTCTGTTAGGTTTCCATAGCAGTCTGATGCAGCCCCATAAAGCAAGTCTTTTTAATCTAACTGGCTGCAGCACAAGCCCCCCAGGAGTACAAAAATAAAGCAAGCTTGGGTACCAGTGCAAGGGGAGCTCCAACAGCAGCCGTGCAAGCGGACAGGACAGGCAAACCTCTCTGTAAATGCATTAACAATGGTTAGCCAAGAGATGAGTGCCGGGACCATCCAACCACCTGCAAAGTCGACTGCCTGCCTCTTGGACGGAAGTGGTGGGTCTGTGCTGAGTGCAACATCCTCCTGGCTCTCTGGGAACAAGGCCAAGGGAGATGACTGGAAGATGCTCAGAGGCATTTCAGGCAAGGAGGCCTTAAGGAGCAGGATTCTTCCAAGCAGTTTTTATTTCCCACCCCTTTCCTAAAGACCCCTGGGAGGGGGGATCTGCCTTCTCACACCTGCCACATAAGGGGGGAATCTGTTACCTCTTCCCCAGTCAGTCATCACCAGCTCAGACTCCACCAGCACAGATGTAATGGTAGGAAATTTTGCCCCCCCCCATCACTGTACGCTAAACCATGGACACCACTTTCTTGCCCATCCTCGCTTCGGAGGTTCATTGGGAGCCCTTGCTTTCCCTCTTCTGGGGCTTCTGCCAGCCAGAAGAACTTGCTGCTTCACCCCCAACTCCAGCTCCCTTCTTGGAACAGATGAAAGGAGGACCAGCCCCAACCCAGGCAGATCCTCAGGGAGCCCCCTCCCCTTTCTGCCTTTGAGGGAGCCCAGCCACATCTTCTCCGACCCTCTCAAGATGATCAGGGAAATTGGTCCACCACCCAAGGTTCCCATGCCATTCTGAGAGGCCCCGCCTGCCTCCCCATTGGCATAGGTGGCCAGGGAAGGGGGGGGCCACCCAGCACACATACGCCCCCCAGCACACATACGCCCCGCAGGAAGAGGCAGAAGCAGCAATTCATAACAAAATATACATTATCTCATGATAACTTACAAACTGAACACATATAATATTACAGTGAAATTCGCTGGGTGACAATGGGAAGATGGGTCACTTCAATGCATGCTCTTCCACAATGGGTTGACCCTGCCTCCCCTGGCCTAGGCAGTCTCTGCTGGAGCCTCACCCCCAAACAAAATGGGATCCCAGCCGCTGCCATCAATTCCAAGGACGTCTGTGTTAACGGGCAGAAGTCCGCAGCCAGCCCTGCTCAGCTCCACCAGCCCAGAAGGCAGCACAGTAAGGGCAGCCTGAGAATCCTCCAAGGAGCCAGTCTCTCTCCCAGGGGCCCAACTTCCTCCAGCTCCAGGCCCCCCTTGGGTTCTCCTCTCGCCTCCCCTAGTGGCCGCTTCTGGCCGCGTAGCGCTGCTTCGCCTCCTGCAAGAAGTTCCGGAAGGCGGGTTCTTCGCAGCGCTCCTCCGTCACTAGGGCAGGGGACAAAAAGGCCCCTGGGTGAAGTGGGTCCCAGAACAGCACCAAGGGGGAAGACCATCCCGGAGGGAACATCCCCGGCCAAGCACAGTGGACTTAAAGCGAGCTTGCTACGCAAAGTCCCTCTGAGATCAAGGTCAGGGCTCATGCTGCACCAACACACCAGCCACCCTGAAACGGGATGCAGGCATTTTGGAGGATGCCCCCTCCCCCCACCGGCCTCTTGATTTGCCTTTTCCTCCCCCCAAACCACTGACCTTTCCCAATCTCCAGAGCCCGCCTTACCTTCATGGTCAATGTCATCAGTGTCACTCTCTTGGCCTTCCTCCGGCTCCTCTTCCCCCTCCAAAGTTCCTCGGGTCAGAATCAGTGCCGAGGGACCCGCTGCGGATTCTGCTATGGAGCCTGGAGACAAAGGCCAAGTGGCTGCCAAGCCTGTCCTGGCCCCAGACTGTGCCCCCCTCCCGCCTGCCAGGGGCCCACCTTGTCGCTCCTGCCCCCACCACAAGGCAATGGGCAAAGCTCTGTGCCAGGAAGACTCCCCTCCTGCATGCTCAAGAGGGGCTGCGCAGCCATGACAGAAGTCACAGGCATAAACAGGGAGAGGCTGGCTGGGAATCCAGGGAGGAGGAGACAGCAGCAGCCTAATCCAACAGGTGCAGCGTGGGGCTCCCCAGCTGAGGAAAGCAGTCAGCCAGGGTACAGACCCTGCCCACACCCGCTCTGCCTCCCCAGAGCAATGGCTCAAGGGATGGCGGAAAGGTTGGCACTGCCAGCAGCCTCCTCCCTGCTTGAAGGCAAGAGCCAGTGTGTCCACCAGTTGTGACCCCCAAGCAGCCTCTCTAGGCCTCCGCAGCCCCACCCCCTTGGCCTTGACTCACTTGAGGCTGCCGCACTGCTCTCCATCGCAAGGGGGCCCAGGTCTCTCTGCAGACGCTGCAGCTGCTCCTGCTGCCGCTGGCTCTCCACCTGCTCCTGCAAGCAAGGAAAGGGAAGGAAGCAATTCCTGCTGGTCCTCCAGCACATGTGGGTCCCTGCCTGCCTTCTCCAGCAGAGCTCCAGTTGGCACCTGTGGGGCTCCAGCCGGCCGCCTCCCAGCATGCCCTGGTGGTGCCCAGAGCGCACCTGTGCAGCTCCTAAAGCAACTGCTGCCGCCACCCGCAGCAAAGCTGGTGAGAAGTCAGAGCCCTGCAGGGCCAACAGCAGCTCTGAGTTCTTCAGGTCAGAAGCTGTCTATAAACAGAGACAATAGCAGCCACAGGGCTAATGAGTGTGTCCCTCAGAGCCGAGAGAGAGTGGAAGGAGAAACCACTCAGGACTCCAGTATCTACAAAGATGTACATTTATGTGCACACATGTACAGAAGGCAGCACACTAAACCCTGAGCGCCAATGGCTCCTTTGAGTTCTTCTGGCAAGGGAGCAGAAGCCGCCACTTGGGAAGGCAATTGGGAGCCCCCAACATGCTGGCAGGAGGTGCTCCCTGACCTCCTCTCCTCCCTCCATCTGGTAAGATGGAAGTGCCCACCTTGAGGCCAAAGGAGGACTTACACAAGCAGAAGGAGCTTCTCCACCCACATTGTCCAGCCTGGACACTGAGGTCCTTCTCAGTCGTGGCGCCCACCCTGTGGAACGCCCTCCCGTCAGATGTCAAGGAAATGAAGAACTACACAACTTTAGAAGACATCTAAAGGCAGCCCTGTATTGGGAAGTTTGTGATGTTTGAGGTTTTGTTGTGTTTTTAATATTTTGATGGGAAGCGCCCAGAGAGGCTGGGGCAACCCAGTCAGATGGGTGGGGTACACATAATAAAATGATGATGATGATGTGTGGGGAGCCTTTCCCATGTGACTGACTGGGGGCAGGGGAAGCACCAGCAGAGGGCAGAGCAACAACACGCCAAG